AACCCAATAAATTGTTCAATTACTGTGGGTAGCTGCAGAGTCATGTGCTTTTTGCATGTTGAAAGAATGATAGATTTGAGCTGTTGATATTCAAAAAATTTGTTAGTTGGTAATCCGTATTTAAGAACCAAATCTTCAAATGAAATTATTTTGTTGTTGACAATTATATGTCTAAAATGTGTTATTCCATTATTTTGCCAATTTGGAAAATATACTGCCCTTTTGTTTAGTAGGAAGTCTGGGTTGTTCCAAATTGGTGTGTGCTGGCAAGGAGCAAGCGGTGAGCCCGTTATCTTAAGAAATTCCCACCAGGCTGTCAGTGAAGTACGTATGCTGATATTCTGAAAGCAGTTGTGATGTTTAATCTTAGAGCTTATAAACGGTAAATCTGCTATCTTAATTTCTTTGCAAAATGTCTGTTCAATGTCGAGCCAGGTGAGTTCAGTCGAATTAGAATTAATCCATTGGTACAAGTGAAGCACTCTATGGCATAGGAAATAATGGTATACGTTTGGGAGCTCCAGGCCACCGCAGTCTTTGGATTTCCTAAGCTTGTGCAAGCTAATGCTTGGAGGTTTGCCTTTCCATAGAAATCTGGAGAAATGAGAGTCCAATGATTTGAACCAATCCCGGGACGGCTGGTTAGGAATCATTGATAACAGATTTTTTAATTCTGGGCATGACCATCATTTTAATGCTGGCAACCCTTCCCATAAGTGAAATTGGTAAGTGTTGCCATCTTTTGAGGTAATCCTCTATTCTTTTAAGTAGTGGTGAGTAATTTAGTTGTACCAGATCCGACAGCCTCGGTGAGAATTCAATGCCAAGATATTTAATATTCCCCGAATTAAAAGTGGTGGAGAAGGAAGGGTTCTGAAGAACCGTGTTGAGTGGCATAACTGTTGATTTCCCCCAGTTTACAGAGTATTCAGAGACAGCTGAAAATGATTCAATAACATTAATAGCTGCTGGAAGAGAGAGATGTGGATGAAGGAGAAATAATAACACATCATCTGCATAAAGACTTATTTTGTGATGTATATTTTTTGTACTTATTCCAGTAATTTTAATGTTTTGCCTAATTGCTTGCGCCAGTGGTTCAATAAAAATAGCAAATAGTGAGGGAGAGAGTGGGCAGCCTTGTCTGGTTCCTCTTTGAAGGTTAAATCTAGATGAAGTTTGTTCATTTGTTCTAACTGGCGCATTCGCAGAGCTATATAGAATTTGGATCCATTCTATAAAAGAGTTACCGAATCCAAATTTACGAAGTGTTGCCATTAGAAATTTCCAATTAACTCTATCAAAAGCTTTTTCTGCATCTAGAGAGATAATGGCAGATTCTAGACTCGTGTGGTTCGCTAGATCAATCAGGTTAATTAGTCTGTACATGTTATTTGTTGAGTGTCTACCCTTGATAAAACCTGTTTGGTCTGCATGAATAATATGAGGGGTAATTTTTTCCAGCTTTTTAGCGATAGCTTTGCAAATTATTTTTAAGTCTACATTTATAAGAGAAATTGGTCTATAGCTTGATGGCAGTGTGGGGTCCTTCCCTGGTTTTAGGAGTAAACTTATGAAAGCTGAGTTCATGTTTGATGGTATTTTTCCTTCAGACTTAATTTCAACTACCATTCTGCTAAAGGTAGGTTCCAGCACTTGCCAAAACTCTCTGTAGAACTCTGCTGGATAACCATCTGGCCCTGGTGCTTTTTTATTTGGCATTTGTTGTAGAGCCTCGTGGAGTTCTGTAGAAGATATTGGTGATTCTAAATTTCCTATCTGTTCGTTTGATAGTTTTGGTAATTCCAGATTCTTTAAGAATAATTCAATATCAGTTGGCGATGGGTTTATTTGAGATGTATATAAATTTTTATAAAATTCCCTGAAAGTATTATTAATGTCTTGGGGGTCGTGAACAAGTTGTCCATTTTGGTTAATTACTGATGAGATAGTTTGTTTTTCCTTGTTATTTTTTAGTAGACCTGCTAAAAACTTGCCACACCTGTTAGCATGTTTGAGGTTATCCAGCCGTAGTCTTTCAATTTGAAATTGAGTTTTTTTATTGATTAGGATATTCAGTTCTAATTTAGTTTGCCTTAAATCTTTCAGGATGTTTTCTTGGGGGTTGTCTGTATAAGCAGTTTCGAGGGATTTAATTTTTAATTCTAATTCTTGCTCTTTCCTAGTTTCTTGTTTTTTCTTAAATGATGAGAATGAAATTATTTTACCTCGCATTACTACTTTTGCAGTCTCCCATAAAACACACGCTGAAATTCCTGGGGTGTCATTAATTTCCATAAAGGTTTCCCATTCTTTTTTAAAATAATTTATAAATTCCTGGTCTTTAAGCAATGATGTGTTAAGTCTCCAGTTTCTCCTAGGTTGTGAAACATTTGTGGTTATTGAGAAAGAGACTGGTGCATGATCGCTAATTAATATAGAATGAATGCTCGTAAGAGTAATATCTGACAGAACTGAGTTATTTACTAAGTAGTAATCTAGACGTGACTGTGAGTGATGAACCGATGAGAAATATGTGTACTCCCTTAAAGTTGGATAAAAAGATCTCCAGGCATCACAAAGACCAAAGTCAATCATATATTGTTTGAGAATTCTTGCTGATTGAGAGTCTTTACAATTAGCAGCTGTACTCAGCCTGTCCAGTTCTGGGTTAAGTACCAGGTTAAAATCCCCACCTATTATGAGCTTGGAATCCGGGTGCGTAGATAGAGCTGTGAAAAGGTTGTGAAAGAAAGAGGGGTCATCAACATTGGGTCCATAAATACTAGCGATGCAGTATTCTATGTTTGATATGGTTATGTTAACTATAATAAATCTCACTTCAGGATCTGCAATAGTATTATTATGAATAAAGGTTATATTTTTACTTATGATTATGGCGACCCCTCTTTGCTTGGAAGTGTAACAGGCTGAGTACGCGTAGGGAAACAGTGGTGAATACACTGTGTTATCTATCGAATTGGGGAAGTGAGTTTCCTGTAGTAATACTATGTCTGCCTTTACCTTATGTAAATGGTTTAAAACTTTAATTCTCTTATCTTCCTTATTAATGCCACGCACATTCCAAGTGACAAACCTCAGTGATGTCATGGTTAGTTGATTGGCTGGTTTGTGTTAGCAGAGCTTGTGTACATGTTAATCTGGGCATTCATGCAAGTACGCAGGGCTAGTGCTGGCATGAACCGAAATACATGCGTGTTTGTTAGCTGCTTTTCATGAAGTGAGTCTATATTAGTAACTAGGTGAGTTATGGAGTATCTGTTTATCAGTGCTCGAGGATAGTATAGATTAATAAATTGTGTATTTATCAGGCAGAGAAAAAACGAAATAAGTGTAAGGAAGTGTGTGATGGAAGGGAAAGGGGTTTTGAGAGTGCCAAAAATGAAGAAAAGAGTGAAGGAGAGAACAAAAGCACAAAAGGAGTGACGAACATCCTGCATACTCATTATTAATAGTAAGGACATAAACAGCTCTTACCTGTGAGACGGTGCATTGTCGTGTTGATACAGAGGTGAAAATGACATTATTATTAATAAAATCTGACCACCTGAAATTAGTAGAGCCACGGGGTAGCTTCTTTGTCGCGGTATAGCTGGTTGTTGACGTATAAACGGTCCACGCTTATCACAGCTTTACATCCCTGGTCCAGGAACCTTCTTCTCAATGGAAAGAGCCGCTTTCTCCTGTCCAGGATCTCCCGGGGGTACTGGTCGTTGACGCTGAAGTTCGTGCCTTTTAATTCACGACCGTGTGGCTTTAAAAGCACTTTCTGCTTGAAATCAGCGAACTTTACCACGATGGGTCGTGGTCGCTGATCATCCGCTCTTTTTCCCCCCAGGCGATGGGCGCGGTGAATTTTGATGCGTCCAGCAACTTCTTCTTTTATCTTCAGCTTGTCTTTTATGAATTGTTGGATTGTTTCTTCCACGTTCTCCTCCGGTTTCTCCGCGATCCCCATGAAGACGAGATTGTCGCGCATGCTGCGCGCTTGTAGGTCCAGCATGGTCTCTTTAATATGTTTGTTTTCGCCATTTAACCGAGCGACATCTCCAGAGAGACTATCCACGTGACTCTTCAGGGCTTCGTTCGCTTTAGAGAGTTCTACAACCTGTTGCTGACTGAATTCCAGCGATTCGCGGATCGCTGTGAACTCCCGGTGCAGAACTTCGACTAATGCCAAACGGGCGTCAAAGCTAGCCAGGCGCAGCTCAATTGACTCCAGGATTTCCCTCAGTCCTCCGTCAGGTTGGGAGTCTCCAGGTGAATCCGAGGGACGCAGTCGTTTGCTTGATGGCGTCGTGTTTGTCGCAGAAGCTGCCGGGCTAGCTTTCTTCTTTGATCTGCCCATCGCGTATTGATCAAAACAATCGTCGATGTATTCCTCCAAGTTATCCAGAGTGGCTCGGTAAGTGTTTTAAATTTTACAAGTTGTTTAAATTAAATTTTTACGCAACCTCGTGCAAATTTTGGGGGCGGAAAACTGTGTTAATCTATTTGTTAGAATTTTTTAACGTGCCGCCATGAAACTCTGCACCTATTCCGCTTCGTACGTCACAGGAAGTCCATCCTCCCTCGCCTTTTTTTTTGTCATCCAATTTAACCCGAAGATTTTAAACATTTCCCTAATTTAAGGATAAACAGCCGTAACGGCCAAGGAAATTTAAATCAAAGCGAGAAACTCTAGTAGGAAGAAGTTAGCCCAAAGGTTTCACTCAGAAGACAAAAAGTTTCCTTAAGATTCTAACAGAACTGAAAAATAAACATTTTCAACATTCTAAGAGAAATTGGTACTGAAATTACTTTGCCAAAACCCAGGATTGAACCAGGGACCTTTAGATCTTCAGTCTACCGCTCTCCCAACTGAGCTATTTCGACCATATTTAACATGGTTTTCTTGCTTGAAAATAGTTACATGTGGAAATGTCCCAACAGAAATAATTAACAAAATGATAAAGGTTCCCTATTTTCAAAAAACACTTTGGCCTATGTGGGGATCAAACCCACGACCTTGGCGTTATTAGCACCACGCTCTAACCAGCTGAGCTAACAGGCCCCAATGTGTAACATTTAGGCTAATAGAAATTTTTTTTATGTCATCCAATTTAACCCGAAGAATTTAAACATTTCCCTAATTTAAGGAAAAACAGCCGTTGCGGCCAAGGAAATTTAAAACCAAAGCGAGAAACTCTAGTAGGAAGAAGTTATCCCAAAGGTTTCACTCAGAAGAAGAGAGTTTCCTTAAGATTCTAATAGAACTGAAAAATAAACATTTTCAACATTCTAAAAGAAATTGGTACTAAAATTACTTTGCCGAAACCCGGGATTGAACCAGTGACCTTTAGATCTTCAGTCTAACGCTCTCCCAACTGAGTTATTTCAGCCATATTGAAATTGATTTTCTTGCCTCAAAATAGTTACATGTGGAAATGTCCCAACAGAAATAATTAACAAAATGATAAAGGTTCCCTATTTTCAAAAAACACTTTGGCCCATGTGGGGATCGATCCCACGACCTTGGCATTATTAGCACCACGCTCTAACCAGCTGAGCTAACAGGCCCCAATGTGTAGCATTTAGGCTAATAGAAATTTTTTTTTATATCATCCAATTTAACCCGAAAAATTTAAACATTTCCCTAATTTAAGGAAAAACAGCCGTAACGGCCAAGGAAATTTAAATCAAAGCGAGAAACTCTAGTAGGAAGAAGTTATCCCAAAGGTTTCACTCAGAGGACAAAAAGTTTCCTTAAGATTCTAATAGAACTGAAAAATTAACATTTTCAACATTCTAAAAGAAAATGGTACTGAAATTACTTTGCTGAAACCCGGGATTGAACCAAGGACCTTTAGATCTTCAGTCTATCGCTCTCCCAACTGAGCTATTTTGGCCATATTGAAGTTGATTTTCTTGCCTCAAAATAGTTACATGTGGAAATGTCCAAACAGAAATAATTAACAAAACGATAAAGGTTCCCTATTTTCAAAAAATACTTTGGCCCATGTGGGGATTGAACCCACAACCTTGGTGTTATTAGCACCACGCTCTAACCAGCTGAGCTAACAGGCCCCAATGTATAGCATTTAGGCTAGTAGAATTTTTTTTTTATGTCATCCAATTTAACCCGAAAAATTTAAACATTTCCCTAATTTAACCCGAAAAATTTAAACATTTCCCTAATTTAAGGAAAAACAGCCATAACGGCCAAGGAAATTTAAATCAAAGTGAGAAACTCTAGTAGGAAGAAGTTATCCCTTAAGGTTTCACTCAGAAGACAAAAAGTTTTCTTTAAGATTCTAATAGAACTGAAAAATAAACATTTTCAACATTCTAAAAGAAATTGGTACTGAAATTACTTTGCCGAAACCCGGGATTGAACCAGGGACCTTTAAATCTTCAGTCTAACGCTCTCCCAACTGAGCTATTTCGGCCATATTTAAGTTGATTTTCTTGCTTGAAAATAGTTACATGTGGAAATGTCCCAACAGAAATAATTAACAAAACGATAAAGGTTCCCTATTTTCAAAAAACACTTTGGCCCATGTGGGGATCGAAACCACGACCTTGGCGTTATTTTTTATTTTTTTTATTTTTTTTTTTTTCCCTTGTCCTGTCCTGCTCAAAAGCCATCACATGGGGGAGTACATGCCTTGCTGAGTTGGACAGATTTGCTTTCTCCAGAGGAGTAAAACACCTGGTGTGGTGTTTTCTCCTCTGGATTGGAAAATTGAATGTATTTATTAAATATTTATTAGTTGTGGTTCCCACGAGTCAGTTTATAATAGTTGTGTCAGGACAAGACAGTGCCGAACCGAAAAGGGGAGTGGACAAAGGATTGGGGAAGGGTGAAGGTACACAAGTGAAAATGAAAGAAAGGAAGAGGAAAAGACGAAGAGAGGAAAATAATAATAATAATAATAATAATAATAATAATAATAATAATAATAATTTAGAAGTGAAGAAAAAAAGAATTGCAAATGAATAAAAAATAAAATAAATAAATACCTACCTGAACATGACGCATAAGTCCTAGTTACAGTTCATTTAGTCCATGTCCGTTTGTTATTGTTCATGTAAAACAGTTATTGCAGTTTGTATATCCAGGCACACATACACACATGTTTAAATATACATACATACACAGACAATCTTTTAAGTGAGGTGATAATAATGTTATATGCTTTAAAAAGCAACTCAGCTACATGGGAGGAAAAATACATAACTTACCAAAGATCACAAACAGTGAGTTGGGCGAACCACACATATCTAACAAGCAAACAATTGCAGCACACGGTGCCCAGGGACAGCAGACCCAACCCACCAGTGGCCGACCAACTTCCCACGAATCACCCTCACTCCTCTATACCCGAGTGCGCTGCGAGGTCCGACACAGAACCGGCTCTGCAATCAGACCGAAGTAACCCGGTGGATCGTGCCACCCCCCGTGGGCCGACATGACCGGGGCCCGGGCTCCCGAGCCAGAGCATCCCACCCCACCCCACCGGGAACCGCCAGCACCCCCAGAGAGAAACGCCCCGCGCCCGGATGCGAGAGAGCGGGGACGCACCCGCCACAGCGGGGGGGCGGCCCACCCGACAGCGGCCAGGCCGGCCCCCCCGACAGCACAGGGAGGCCCCAGAAGACCCCACCCGCGACCACCGCCACCCGCACAGCCCCCGGCGGCAATGCCCCCGGACCCGGGCCCGGCCGCGGCCCCACCAGGGGGGGGGGGGGGCGAGGAGGGGGAGGAGACCAGGAGACCAGAAGAGGGCAGAGAGGGAGACCGCACCAGGCGCAGCGGAGCCACCCCCCCAGCCACAACCCGACCCCGCACTCACCACGACCAGCAGCCTCAGACCCCTCCCCCTCCCCCAGTCATCCATCCATTCATCAATCATTCCATCCATACGCCCATTCATACTCGAAGGGCGGTCAGTCACCGTCCAGTGGACCCGCGCCCACCCGGGGATCCCACGGGCCCGCGCTGACGGAGGGCATATACCCACCCCGGCCGGGAGACAGAGACGGCCGCCCACCCACTGCCCATCATCTGCCCCCAGTTGGAGTGTATTGTATGTGTTTGTGTATATGTTGAAGAGATAAGTTGCATTAAAACTGGGGAGTGATGTCCTGGGGCGTCACCGTTGGTTGACAGCTGAAGTCCAGGCACCACCCCCCATTCCCTGCGTGTCTAATATGTATGTAAAATAAGAGGGCCGTCATCTCCGCCCTAGAATTTTGGGGGGGCCACAAATCTGCAGCCCCACCCATCAGATGTGGACGGAGAGACTAGCCCTCAAATCCTAAATGTAGTGTGTCCTTGCAAGTGATATTTGGGGCACCGGGAGGGAGACCGGCTCCCGAAGCGGGTCAGTGCCAGATGTTATTGGTCCTCTGACCGCTTCAGGAGGCAGGCCCCTCTCCAGTGCTCTGGAGATGTTGAGTGTCTAACTGAATTAAAACTGGGGGTCCCCTGGCCTGGAGTATGCCGGGGGGGGCTGATCCGTGATAGGCCGACCCCCCCCAATCCCCCACAGAGACTGAGACCCCCGGGATCCTGTGTGTGGGGGTGGAGGAAATGTACCAGGAGCCGATGCGGGCACCATGCCGACGAGCCGACCGCCCCCCATCCAGGGGTGGCACCGCCCCCCGCCCAGGGGGACACGGTAGAGTCACCAAGGGGGGGACGCGGGAAACCAGGCGGCAGCTGCCCCCCTTCGGATCCCATCCATACTCATTCGTTCACACTCATCCACCCCTATGCCCACCTACACACGCATTCACCCAAACACACCCCCCTCTACATGCACACTCACACACACACGCACGCACACACACACACACACACACACACACACACACACACACACACCCATACATGTCCAAGAGCTGCTGGTCGCGTGCGCACAGAGTCAGCAGTACCTGAGTAGGAGACCCCGCCACGCCCAGCCCGGCCAACCCCCACAGCCCCCAACCGGTCCCCGAGCCACCACCCACCACCACACCCCCAACCCCCACCCGGCGGGCCCCGGCCGCAGCACAGGCGCGGATAGGCCCACCACCAGGCGGCTGCAAAGGCAGCGGCACCCGCGAGCACGGACCCCAGAGGCCCCCCCACACCACCCAGGAGGCCAATCCGGCCACACCGAGCACACCACTCCCCCCGCCGCCCGGGCACAGCCGCCACCCCCCCACCCCCGGACCACAGAGCCCCCCGTCCCCGCAGGAGCAGCCGGCACCCGGCGAGGCAAGAGCAGTAGCACCCCCGGAGACGGGTCCACAAACTACATGTCGTCCCAGAGGAGGGGGCAGTCCCACATGAAGCACACCCATCCGAGAGCAGGAACCGGTGATCTGTTCAGATCCTCTAACTAAAATTCAGAGGAATAGGGGCATTAATAAGAAGTGACAAAAAAAAATTTATTTATGTGAAGGCAGACAACATTTCCGGGGTGAGATAGTTTAATAACATGTTGTTATATTGAGTGATGCTTAGTTTCTTTTTCGTTTTCCAGTTCATAAGAATGGTTTTCTTTGCTACAAGCATAACAGTGAGGATTAATAGTGATGTGTTAGCCTCGAGTTCTAACTGTGTACTGTCTAGGTCACCCAATAAGCACAGTGCTGGAGTTGGTAAAATGAGGTGGTTAACCCATGATGTTAGCTGACAGCAGACTTCTTGCCAGAATTTTTGCAC